CGTGTGTCTGCATGCCGGCCGCTAGCAGGGTGGGCGGCAGGGGCTGTGATAATGTGGGACGAATGACTGACATACGCTTGAGTTTGGGAAGATCTGTGGACAGTGCAACCCAAGCAACTAGCCCCTGGTTTCCTGTTGCTGTGTGTGACCGGGTCAGAGGGAACCCTCCATCTTGCGTGTGTGTGAGTTCTGGATCATTCTGACACGCCAGAGCCGGAGGAGGCGACTTCCACACTGCAGGCCAGGTGGCTGATGGTCACCCAGCAACCAGCCCTGTGCCTGCGGTTCAGGGAGAGGGGCTGCAGGCAGCAGGAGGAAGCGGGTGGTGGAGGAAGGAAGAAGCGAAGGAGGAGAGGTGGGCGGCTGGGCCTCGCTGGCCGCCGAGCTCCCCGTGTGCGGGAGCTGCTCCTGGCCTGGGTCCTGTGGGAGCTCCCCACCAGCGCAGGGATTCTCAAAGCGAAGGGAGGCACGACTCAGATTTCTGAAACTGACACTAGATGGAGTCAGGCTGAGTGGGGAGAAGTTAGACCGAAGGACAAGCAAGTCAGTCTCTTACAGCAAAACTGCATGTGCTTTCTGTCACCCAGGGACGATTTAATAAATCACTTACCATAACTTATCACAAATAGGAGTGATGTCTACCCTCTGCTTCTGCTTTGCAGGTCAAACCTCAACTTCTCCGAAAGGTGAGTTGGTTGCGGGAGTCAGCACTGACTGAAGGAGAAGGACAGGCCGGCCCGCGCTGGCTCGCCTCGCGCCACGAGAGCGGAGCAGCCCGTAGCCAAGGGCACGCGTCCTGGGCCAGGGAGGCTGCGAGACCAGGAGCCAGCCTCTTCTAGGGACACTTGCAGAAAATCCTAGCAGGTGGAACTTTGGCAGAATGTAAAATGAAACTATGGGGCATTTGCCCGATTAGAGCTGAGAAAACGGTTTTAACAGCAAGATAGTTCATTTTTTAAATATATTTTTATTGATTTCAGAGAGGAAGGGAGAGGGAGAGAGAGATAGAAACATCAATGGTGAGAGAGAATCATTGATTGGCTGTCTCTTGCATGACCCCTGTGGGGATCGAGCCTGCAACCCGGGCATGTGCCCTGACTAGAAATTGAACCTTGACCTCCTGGTTCATAGGTCAACATTCAACCACCGAGCCACGCTGCTCAGGCGGTTAATTTTTTAATTTTACTTACTTAGACCTTCTCTTGACAGAGGCCCATCAAACAGATAGCCCATTTACTCCATTTGATGAAAAAAAAAATTCCAAACTTTTCTCTGTGTCATCAAGCTATCAGTTTGGCGAGGCGTTGGATTCTCACCTCTGCTTTGGGGTCTCAGTAGACAAGGCCTGCACATGCAGGGCGGGGCCTGCAGAGGAGGCACCTGCTCCCCAGGAAGGAGGCACCTCCTCTGGGGTTATCCGAATCCTTGGTTCTGGTTCACACTCTCGGGCCTGCTGGCTTGCCCTCAGGCGCTGCCCACATGCTCTCACTCTCCCTTCTTGGGAAACATTGTAAATATATCGCAAAGTTGAAAGAACCGTGTAATAAAGACAGACATACACACCCTTCATCTAGAGCAGTGGTTCTCAACCTTCCTAATGCCGCGACCCTTTAATACAGTTTCTCATGTTGTGGTGACCCCCAATTTCATTGTTACAAATTGAACATAATTAAAGCATAGTGATTAATCACAAAACAATATGTAATTATATATGTGTTTTCCGATGGTCTTAGGCGACCCCTGTGAAAGGGTCATTCGACCCCCAAAGGGGTCGAGACCCACAGGTTGAGAACCGCTGCTCTGGAGTCACAGGTAGCACTTGCCACTTGCGTTTTCTCTGTATACATCATTTCCTCTGATCCACTAACAACTGGTGTAGACACCAGGACATTTCATCCTAAATACCTTATCCTGTTACCTCCCACATGCTCGCCATACAATGACTGTGTTTAGAAAAATGAATGATAACTCAATATCATCTACGCAGCCCATCTTCAGAGTTCTCTGGTTGTTTAAAAAGCATCTTTTATAGCTCTGTTTCCCTAAGCCAGGATCATTGTATTTGATTTTGTCTCTTTATTTTCTCTCTCATTATTGGACAACCCCTCTGCTTCCCCCCCATATGTCAGCAATTTTCAGCCTTTTTCATCTCATGGCACATAATTAATTACTAAAATTCTGCGGCACACCAAAAGATATATTTTTGCAGATCTGACAAAAAAATAGCTATCATTTTAATTCATTCACACCAGACAGCTATTGTTGTGTTGGCTGTTGTCATTTTTTATGTGACAGTCGAAGGGAAGAGGCCGGTGCCCCTGAGTAAATAGCCGGGCACTCCAGGTTTTAAACATTCCTGCGGTGCACCGGGCGAAATCGCTGCTCTGAGGCATTGCCAATTTGGCAGTACCCAAGCCTGTCCCTGTCTGACGTCCCATTTTCTGGTTTGTTAGGTTCTGTCCTCCTGAGTAAATCAGATGGAGAATTTTGTCGGGACTGCCACGGAGGTGACCCCTGCATCCTCTGTGGTGCCGCCTCAGGAGGCACCCACGCCAGGCCCCTCTGTGGGGGGCGCTGTGTTTGCTCACTGGTCCAGGACGCAACTGCTGGACTCCACGTAGTTGAGGTCCGATTTCCCCCTGGTAACCAGTAAACAATCCAAGGGTGCCCAACAGTTCTTCACCCAGTGACTCAATGTATCTTCATGAGTTACGTTTGAATCAATTATTCACTGGGAATTACAAAATACCTAGTTTCTAATTCCAGCATTTCTTCTACACGTAACAGCTGGCATTCTACAGAGAAGGAATTTTTCTCCCCAGCCCATTTTCTTTCATTTAGTTGAACATTATTCCTATGAACTTCAATGCATTTTAATTTATTGCCATCGTGAATCTTTTTTATGCTCGAATTACCCCAAGTTTATCCAGTACAAGTCACTTCTTCGTGGCTTTTAAGGACCCCGTTAGTCACTGAGCATTTCCTAGACTTTGACACAACACAGTAACGCCAGTTCACCTTGTACTGTCCCTGCTCAGACTGGAATCACATTTCCCCCAGGGTCCCTCCCTCCCTCCCTCCCTCCCTCCCTCCCTCCCTCCCTCCCTCCTTTCTGTCCCTCACTCCCTCTCTTCCCTCCCTCCCTCACCTCCCTCCCTCCTTCCCTTTCTCCTTTTCTCCCTCTCTCCCCTTCCTTTTCTTGATGTGGAATAGTTTTCACAAACCAAGGTCTGGGCACAATTTGTGCTCATAGCTACTGAAGCATTATTGCATCTACACCCTCTCAATGGACAGTCAGGAAATGTATATTAAAATCACAAACTCAATACCTTAAGGTTCTTCTTAAGCTTTTCTTATTTTATATTTTCCCCTGGCTTCTCCAAAGTGAAAGCTCTGCTTCTCAACCATATGAAAGCTTTTACTCGTTTGCTGTATCATATAATATACACACTGACAGAGTTACAACAGAGCACAGCTACACACTTACTTAGCAACTTGAACATTCCTTTACAGTTCCTTTTTTTTAGAATTTAGCCTTCTGTGTGTACAGAGTATTGTGTTCAGATTGAGTTTATTTCTCTTTGAGGCTGCATTACCAATTTGACACAGTGAGAAATATTTGATTGAGTCTGTCTGCCGTGTTCCTGTTTTCTTTCTTAATCCTTTAGTTTAATTGTGTTTTTGAGTATGAAGAGCATGCTCCCATCCCTGTCCACTCCACCACACCTTGAGCAACTGGTGCCAACAGTTTCTATCTTACCCTTCCTGTGTTCATTTCACAAATTATAATGGATTAAAAATTTTACATATATACAATATTTTATAAAATTAAATAAATGTTTTATCTATACTAATAAAAGGGTAATATGCTAATTAGGGTGGACATCTTCCGGACATCCATCTGGACAAAGCCACAGCACCTGCGAGGCCCGAGGCTCAGGCCTTGTAGCCGCTGCGGCCGGCAGTGGCAGCAGCAGCGGGGTGATGGGGCGGCGCCTTCACCTGATCAGCCTGGTCGCTTCCCACAGAAGGAGGCCAGATTACCCCTGGGGAGCAGGCCTAAGCCATCAGTAGGACATCCCCTGAAGGGTCCCAGACTGTGAGAGGGGGCAGGCCGGGCTGAGGGACCGCCCACCCAGTGCACAAATTTTCATGCACCTGGCCTCTAGTATGTACACAAATATACAATTTTTCCAGTCCTTGTGTGGGTTTATATTTTTATTTGTCCACTGGCATTTGTTGTTGTGTGTAGTATGAGATAGAATTTAGTTTCCTCTTTTTCCCATATGGCAACCCAGTTATCTCAATATCATTTTTTAAAACCACCCTATTTCCCCCAGTGTTGTTTTTATTTATTTATCTTTATTGTTGAAGGTATTGCAGATGCCCCCTATTTTCATCCATTGACCCCCTCCTCCCCACTCCCAAGCCCTCTCCAGGCCTTCACCACACCACTGTCTGTCCATGGTCTATGCAAATATGCATATAAGTTCTTTGGTTAATCTCTTCCCCTGCCTTCCCTCTGAGATTCATCAGTCTGCTGCATGTTTCCATGTCTCTGTATCTATTTTGTTCATTAGATTCCACAAATAAGTGAGATAATGTGATATTTGTCTTTCTCTGACTGGCTTATTTCACTCAGCATAATACTCTCCAGGTCCCTCCATGTGGTTCCAAAGGTTAAGAGATCCTTCTTTTTTACAGCTACACAGTATTCCATGGTATAAATGTACCACAGCTTTTTTTATCCACTCATCTGCTGATGGGCCCTTGGGCTGTTTCCAGATCTTAGTTATTAAAAATAGTGCTGCTATGAACATAGGGTGCATACATTCTTCCTGATTGGTGTTTTAGGTCTCTTAGGATATATTCCTAGAAGTGGGATCACTGAGTCAAATGGAAGTTCTATATTTCATTTTTGAGGAAACTCCACACTGTATTCCATAGTGGTTGCACCAGTCTGCATTTCTACCAACAGTGCACAAGGGTTCCCTTTTCTCCACAACCTTGCCAGCACTTGTCGTATGTTGACTTATTGATGGTAGCCATTAGGCAGTTGTGAGATGGTACCTCATTGTGGTTTTAATTTGCATTTCTCTGTTAATAAGTTTGTGGTCTAGTTTCATATGTTTCTTGGCAATTTGTATGCCCACTTTGGAGAAATGTCTATTCAGGGCCTCTGCCCATTTTTTAATTGGATTGTTTGTCTTTCTTGTGTTGAGCTGTATGAGGACTTTATATATTTTGGAAATTAACTCCTTATCAGATGTATCATTGGCAAATATGTTCTCCCACACCGTGGGTTCCTGTTTCATTTTGATGCTGGTTTGCTTTGCTGGGCAGAAGCTTTTTAGTTTGATGTCATACATTTTGTTTATATTTTCCTTTTTTTCTCTTGCCCTAGGCCAGCGGTTCTCAACCTATGGGTCACGACCCCTTTGGCGGTCGAATGACCCTTTCACAGGGGTCACCTAAGACCATCCTGCATATCAGATATTTACATTACAATTCATAACAGTAGCAACATTACAGTTATGAAGTAGCAACGAAAATAATTTTATGGTTGGGTCACAACATGAGGAACTGTATTTAAAGGGCCAGAAGGCTGAGAACCACTGCCCTAGATGATGTATCGGTGAAAATTCTGCTCTGTGCGATGTCTGAGATTTTGCTGCCTATATTTTCTTCTAGGATTTTTATGGTTTCACAGCTTACATTTGAGTCTTTTATTCATTTT